TATATTGTTTTATCTCATGATTTTTTTTCTTTATCTTTATCTTTTTGTGTTATCCTAAAATCTTGAGGTGGATTAATTATAATTTTGTCTTTTCCCTTAATATTTTTTATCTAAAAGAGCATTTCTTATTTGTATATTGTATTCTAGATTTTCCAATCTTTTGTATATATCCTCAAATTTTTCATTTGTACTATTTTTAGGTAAATAAGGATAACTAGATTTCTTATATTTTTCAACTTTTTTCAAAAATTCTTCAATTATGTTTTCTTTGTCAATTATATTTATCATTATTTTAGGTTCGTAACGGGGCTCTGATACCATTTTTCGGAGCACTCGTGCGGAATTATATTCTGTTTCTTAGAGCGTGTGATTTTTGAAATCTATAAACATTTTTAGTATTTTCTAAATATTTTATTATATGTTCCTTTGTTATTTTATGATTTATGAGAACGATATAAAATCTCTAATAGTTAATCTATATCTCAACCTTTTATATGCATTACACATCTTATGGAATTCAGATTTCCTCATTTATAATTAAAGGATACTTAAATAATAACTAGAATTAAATCCGTCAAAGATTCTGGGTTCATATATTTTTGGACTTAATTGAAGTCTTTATATTTTTATAGTGGCTTTGATTGCAAATTCTATGTAAGAGGGTATTTTGGACAGTTCATATTTATTATATTAAAATTTTGGTCAAAGGCTATTTTTCCAAACAACCTTTTTTTGCAAATAGGCTATTCTATCTAATTTTCTCAGCACTCTTCCGATTGTTTGCCTAAACTTTAAGGGACTAAAATAAATGACTTTATAGTTTGCTTTGTAGTTGACAAAGTGTGTTTTTATACATTTATCCGTTGTTAGACTTGATAAATCATTAGGTAATTGAATTGAAGTAAACAAGGCAAACATTGAACCAACTTTAGTTAAGTTATTCAAAAGAGTAATGTTATTCATCCACAATGGGGTTACAAACACAGTTTAAGTGACTCTAAATGATAGGTTAAATTAAATAACTTATTTAATTTCACATTTCATTTAACCTATCATTTTGAGTCACCTAAACTGTGTTTGTAACCCCAGTGGGGGTGAATAGCATTACTCTATCCAAAAAACATATTTTTTCTACGTACTCATTTTCAATCATACAATCATACAATAAAATATTTTACACGTAAATCTAAAATTTTTCCCTTCTTTTAACCATACATTCTCCAAAAATTCACTATTCAAAACTTTGTTTTTATCAAATAATGGCCATCAAATAGGACATAAAGGGTTTTCGAAGCTTTCTGAGCCATAATGGATTCTATTGCCAGTTCATTAAGGGTTTCTGTAAGATAACAAAGTTAATATGCAGCCTACTTTAGAAATATGTGAAATTTTATTTTTGTGAAGAGTGTCTCAAATCGTTTTACACAGTAGAGGAAAAAAATCATTTCAAAATTGTGATCATTATACTAGATTGGATCCTACCACTCAAGCTTATATTTGATGCAAGTGATTATGTAATGGGAACAGTATTACAACTAAATTATGCCACTATTGAGAAGATACTAGTTGGGGTATTTGCCTTTCACAAATTTTGATTTAATCTCATTGGATTGAAGGTTATTGTGTATATCGACCACTTTGCTCTAAATGCCTGCTTGCCAAAAAGGATGGAAAATTGAGGTTAATTTGTTGGTTGCTATTTCTTCAAAGATTTGACTTAGAGATTTGGAACAAGAAAGGGTGTGTAGATGTGGTAACATTTTCACTTATCTCAATTAGAGTAGCTTGAACAGATAGAAGAAGAGGATATTAGTGAGCAATTCCCAGATGAATGGGTTTTAGAGGTTAATCAAGTGGAAAACGAAAAGGAAGCACCAATATATGTAAACTATGTGAACTACCTAACAACTGATATAGCATCGCCAGATTCTTGTTCTGAAGTGTTATAAACGTCGCACGATCGAAAATAACTCAAGAAGGCATGAAATACCTTTAAACAGCATTCTTGAAATCGAATTTTTCGATGCTTGGTGTATTAACTTCATGATACTTTCCACTATCATTCTCCAATCTTTATAAACTTGTGCAGTGTATTATGTCTCCAAATAGATTGAGAAAGTGGCTTTACCTACCAATGATGTCTGAATGGTTGTGAATTTTCTCGAAAAGATCAATTTAACTTTTTTCACACCTAGTCATTCTAAATGATGGCAGAAAGCTTTTTGCAATGGGCAATTTGAGGCTCTTTTGGCTAAATATGGTGTGAAACACATAATTGGTACTCTCGTCACCTCAAACAAGTGGTTAATTTGAACTCTCCAACGACAGTTGAAACATATTCTTGAACTAACTGTTAGTGTGTCAAGAAATGACTATAGGCTTATTGCACGGCATTCAAGACTCTAATAGGTATGTCTCCATATTGATTTGTCTTCGAAAATGTATGTCGTTTACTAGTTGAGTTAGATGATCAAATTTATTGGGCAACAAAAGAGTTAAATTTTGACACTAAGGCGGTCGGTGAGCAAAGACAAGTAATGTTCAATGAAATGGATGAATTCTAATTTGAGGCGAATGATAATGTCAAATTGTACAATGAGCGAACCAAAAAATGGCGTAATCAACAAATTCAAATAAAGAAGTGGTAAGAAAATGTCAAATTATATCTATTTTGTTTAAAATTTAATTTTTTTATTCGAGTTTTGCAATAAACCCAAAAGTTCTCGAACTTTTGACTTGTTAAGAGACCTTAACCAAACCAACTTGTTCTAAAAAACCGGCCCAACCTAATCAGTTATATTTGGTTTTGATTTGATCGAACCAAATATCCACCCTTATTCAATGTCCCGTCCAACTTATTAAAATATATACCTAGTGTATCAATTTTGGTCGAGTGCATTACACTCATCAATTATTTTGAGCTGTGGTTGCTCATTTCATTTAATTCGTAATGTCAACAAACTTCCTTTGACTTTAAAAGAAGTTGAATAATGATACTTTTACAGTTACAGGGGGCAACTCTCCCCACCTACCAGGCCCTGATAGTGCAGCATTATTCAACGAAGTTTCTTCAAGTTCTTGGAAAGCTGCGTGCATGCGTCCATGGAATCTACAGAAATTAATATATCTGAAAAAGTAACTGTGCAAGTAAAGGAATTTTGAATCTGATAGCTCTGACTCGTTCAATTATTTGAAGTCGTACTTATATGACTCAGCTTAGCTCCCGAGTTCAATCGGAACTGAGTCAAAGAATAACAAGTTTGCTTGTTGGGTAATGCACTTTTAAATAAGCTTTGTGATATAAGCTTGAAAATAAATATATATATGCGCAGCTTTTGTAGAATGCATTGTCAACTCGCTCTCTCCCCTGAATAAAGAGGGTAAATTAGATAAAATAATAAAAATAAAATAATATAGAGGTGTAAATCGAGTATGTGGTAATACTTTTTAATAAAAACCATAGAATTTAAGTCCGTAGATCAAAACTTAGAGCATGTTTGGCTAAGATTAAAATCGAATTAAAATTGAAAAACTAACTGTATTGTTGATTTTTATTATACAAGTGAGACCTAATAACAACTATATTTTCAATTTTAATTGGATTTTAATCTTAGCCAAACATTCTCTTAAAAATATGTTGCATTACATGGCGTGTACAGCACGTGTCTCAACTCTCTACGAGTTCGAGAGATAGGTAGTGCGTTTAAAGCATTAGGCATCGTAAAACATGAAATAATTCTAACACAAACATATATTTTCGATAGTATCAGTAAGAAAAAGGGATTTTCTTGCCTCAATTCCATATATCTTGATCGGCTAATTTCACAATTTTGTCCTTACTTTGTCTCATTAAATTTGTATAATATAAACTAGAAGAAAATTCCTTGATCGCGTTGGTCAAGATTAGAGATTGATCAATTACATTTCTTTAATTCATGTACGAAAAAATTGAAGCAACTTGCCATTAAAACCTTTTATTTTAGAACTGATATAATTTAATATTACCGAAAAACGTCATTGTTGTCCCTATCATAAAACAAATACTCATGTCTAGTCCAACAAATAACGAACAAAAAAAAATAGGAACAACGACCATGAAATTGGTAAATTTATTGTTGTCTAGAAGAACTTTTTTTTTTATTCTCATTCCGATCATCTCATCGTTATTTCTAAATTCAATGTAAGTGTGAGATGAATGTGAATGATAAGTGAACAGCGATTGACTGTTTTCGTCGAATATATATAAATGAAACCTTATTTTTTACTCATCATGTAAAGCACTTTTGAAGTCAGACAGACGTATGTTGAACAGATATTTTAAAGTTAAAAGTTCGAAGGCTTTTTAAGTCCATGGCCAAGTACTTGTATTACTTCGACATCCAAGCAAAGTCTTGTTATGCACCTATATTCATTGCTTCTTCCAGCACTTGCTACGGTGCCTAGAATAAAAGCCTTTACATTTCTTGTAATTTCATAATATTAGAAATGATTCCATAACAAGCAATAGTAACATGACATATCAAATAATTGATGAATCATATAATTTTTAAAATTTACCATAAATTTATTCACCGAACTATCGATGCTTAAACGATCATTTCTCCTTTTTTTTTTTTTTATTACAATCATAAACTAATTCTTATGGATAATAATTTTTATATAATGTCCGATGGCCGTCATAAACACTGCATTATAATATAACACGTGCAAGAATCAACCCAACAATAATGGAGGCATTTTTTTATAACCAAAAAAAAAAAGTTGGTCAAACTTGGGCGCCGGGTCCTAGTATGTAATAAAACGCCGTCGCTTCACGACAAATAAAACTTTGAACTTGTTCATTGAAGGTCTATTTCCCTTTGGGGTTGAACATGGCCTCTTGCAACTTGTATACAATTTACTATATATTTAACACCAAAGTTGATAACATTTTCATCTTATTGTTCCAAGATTTTCTTTAATTTTCAATTTGTTCATATCTTATAGATAAAGTAACGAGAATGGACTCGCATTCGGGTTCATCTTCGTCTTCAAATAAGATCTATTCGTACCGAGAAGAAGAAAAGAGAGACAAACTTGCCTCAAATTTTTATTCTGCACTCCATTCTGTTCGTAAACTTCCAATGAAACAGGTGAAGAAACCAATAGCACCTTTTCCACCAACCCCACCAAAAATCTACAAGGTAGATCCTGTTAATTTTAAAGAGGTTGTTCAGAAACTTACTAGTGCAACTGAGTCCCAATCAACTAGGCTGCAGGAGGTGGCGCCGCCGCCTCTCAGCCTTTCTCCACCATGGCAGCAGCCTCTAGTTCATCCTAATCAAGATAAAACGCCACCAGGTTCCAACTTCAGTGATTTTATGATTGAAACATACGAGTAAAAGGCAGTGAAGCCGTTGGATTATAGTTTTGGAGCCCTTAGTCCTCACGGGTTCAACTTTTCACCATCTTCTCTTGCATGGTTTTCATCTTTTCTTTTTAGTCCACAAACTCTTTCTCCTCTCGAGCCAAGTGCAGTTCTTTAAGGATATGTTTGGTAAGATGGATTCAATTCTACTCATACAGTGTTAAATGCAAAACGAAGTTCAAAATTTGTCTACACTATTATCTAGTTGTATTCAATATCAGACCATGTTGAGCACGCCCTAGGATTTTAAATTATCTTCTTCTTTGTGAAGTAATCATTTGTTATAAAAGTACATAAAATACTTCATATTTATATTTGATTTGAATGTAGATTACCAATATACATAATCAAAATAATAAATATAATCCAACAATAATAACATAAGAATAAAAGAGTTTGAAAAGCAAATTTTAGGGAATCACGTCAAAGACGTTGTCCTAAAGTTGTGGTACCTCTCATTCGTACAGGTACTTTCGACATTACACGACTCCAAAATAAAATTCATATGGCTCACAGTCGATTCTCTTAAATGGGTACGATCATAGGGAGATAAAAAAATGAATCTTTATCGAATTGTCCAAACTATAGAAATATAGAATGTGTAAAAGATATTTTTTCCAGTCGTGTTTTTCTCTTGTTGTATCAAACAATGAAGTCACCACACCTTTTATAGGGACAAATATAACCCTCACATTCATGAAATAAATCCAATTTAAGTATAAGTTATAATCCATCTATCATGAGTTTTAATTTTGTATTAAAATGTAAATTAATATAGAAAACTGAAATTTAAAATTACCTTTAATTTTGAAATTGAAAACTTACTAAGTAAATACAATGTTGTTAGAGGGTGAGGTTTTAAACTTTCAATACACACACACAATGGCAACGCTATACTATGCAATAAGTGTAAGTATATTTTGGATTTAAACTTTATTTAGTGATAAAAATTTCCATTTGAACGAGCCATAATGGACTAAGTAGAGGTGTCAAGACGAATGGACCGCCTGGACCTGTGAAAACCGGCCCGGATTGATCCGGGAGTGCGGGCCGACCAGTGAACCGAGCCAAGGAGGTGTGACCCGCGGGTTTCGCGGGTTGCACCTTCATGGGCCGCGGTTAAACGGCTAGCCTGTGAAATTTTTTTATTTTTTATTTTTTAATTTGAAAAAATGGGGGGAGAGTTGAGACTAAATTATAGTTAAGAGTTAAAGACTTAAGTAAGTGCCAACTTAGTTGGGATGTACTTAAATTATAAATTATAATAAAAGTAGGTGCCAACCTAGTTGTGATGTACTTATGCTATAAATATTTGATAATAGTAATTAGAAATGCATTTAATTGTTATTTGTTTAAGTTAAATTTAACTTTACAAAGTTATAAATAATTCATGTAACGTTAAATTTGAATTCTATGTAAACATTTCTTGGTATAAATATAAATTTATCATTTTGGTCAATTCTTAGTTTACATTTAACCAAAAAAAATATTTTTTTGCTATAAATATGAAAAATTCTATATTTTTATAATTTTATTTATACAATAATACTGCCACATCGAAACAAACTGCGACATGTGCAACCCGTGACCCGCATGGGCACGACCCGGATGGGTCAGCAGGCGGCCATGTGTTATAGTTCAAAATTTGTGGGCCGGCCCGGAACCCGTAACGGGTGGGCTTTTTTTTACGCGGGCCGTCACCGGGCTCATAGCATATCATATCTTTGGTACCAGATGACCATTTCATATCATAATCATATCATATCATTACTTTTATAAGCATAATATTTATCTAACATGAAGAAATAATTTAAATAGGACAAACCACTTGCACCTCGTAATCTTACCTTATTGATTTAAATAATTTCTTGAAAGATGAAAACCCAAAATCACGTTCCAAACCAATTCTGCCTCTGCTTGTGTGTTCCGTATGTAAAAATAAAATTTTTGTGTGTGTTCTCTCTACTATAATGTGCCTATATACATAGGCAAATAATAACCTAGATAATTGGTGCATGAGTNCCCTTTTCTCTCTCGTCTTCCTCCCCTCCCCCTTCTCTCTTTCTCCCTTTCCCTCTCTCTCTCTCTCTCTATGTGAATGGAATAGCGGCGGCGATGCTCCCCTCCCCCTCTCTGTCCTTCCTCCGTGAATGGAACGGCAGCATCGCCGGTGATGGCTTATGGCTCAGCGGCGACGCTCACCTCCCCCTCTTCGTCCTTCCTCTTGTGAATGGAGCGGCAGTGTCATTTCTCTGTCCTTCCCCCTCCCTCTCTCTGTTCTCTCTCTGTGAATGGCGTCGAGCGTGCGGGGATGACTCACGGCGCAGCGGAAGCAAACCTGAGCTCAGATCGCTGCTGCAACGACGTACCGATGTAGTGGTGCTGTGATGATCTGTTGGTGTGGTGGCGTTTAAGGAGATGCACTGATATCTGATGTAAGCATCACCGACTGGTAGTGTTTGTAGGGGTGGTGGTGCGTTGTGCGACGGTGGTGTGGTGGTTTTGAGGGCCTGTAATAGGGGTAGTTTTTTCTTTGTTGGTGTGGTTGTGGTGGTTTTGAGGGGCTGTAGCAGGGATGATTCTTATTCGTTATTGTTGGTGCGGTGGTGGTATCTCT